TTTATTTAATTTTTTATTAATTTAATTTAATTTTTAATTTTTAAAGTTGTCCATAAACTTTTGTCCACCCACTGTATATACCTAACAAGTATTATATATATATATTTATAGTTAACTTATTTATATATAACTAACTATATATCATTTAACTTAATGCTATGTATAATTACTATCTAAATCTGAAATGGTTATGAGTATACTATTCTGTTTCAAAAAGATGCACAAATCTATTTTAATTTTTTCCAGAGCAATTTTATTAAGAGTATTTTGGTTATCAGACCATCGATTACAATATTCTGAACCCTGATTTTCAGTTCTTCGGAGTGGTTTGCAATTTTTACCTCTCACCAAGGCCTCCTGATAGTAAAGTCTATAAAATACAGTATAGCCAAATACTTGATTGGTATCCTTCAATGCAGCTATTAGGAATTTTTTAGAGGCACTCTACTGGTTTGGAATCTACTTTTCTTATTACCTTTTATAGCAACATGATAATGTTGAAGATAATTCTAATCAATTTCGAATATTCGATTATATCACAATTCTCTTATAGATTAGTTTTTCTATAATTGGAAATATCAGTTATTATATGGTTAGACCGATATCCTATAGATTCCCACATGATTTTTGAGGGAATCACATTAGCCCCCTAGTGAATTTGAACCTATAGCTTATGATACTGACCTATGATATTCTAATCACTAAACTATGGACCTATAGGTCATTGTTTAAATAATATAATATTTTCAATTTTGAATATTTATACAAATTTATTTTGATAAAAAAAAAAAAACTCTCATCCGTTCACCACTGATTCTTTGAAAATTTCCTTTTATGGTAATTTTCTTTGAAGAAGTGCTTTTCACTCTTTCAATATGTCATTTATGCCATAAGCTTAAGGACATAAAGACTTTAAGGACCACTGTTGCATTGGGATGGGACCTCTGGACAAAGGTCAAGCAAGTTTGGGAGTCTTGTTTGCTCTTTGTTTGCATGGGGAAAGGCTCGTGGCAGTCTTCCTTCATAACTTTGTCTTTATGCACCTCTTATTATTTATATATCATTATTATCATCCTTCTATCATTCCTCATTATCGCAAATTTAATCCTAAAATCACATTTAAGCAAAGTTACTGGGTCTAATGCTTGTTTTAACCAAACCTTCTCAACCATCTTTCACTTGATGTACAATGCTGCGCCAACCCATTTTTCATAAAATCTCAATCATTCTCAAAAACCAAAATCAGTTCTACCCCTCCAAACGATCAACGTATACCCAACAATCAATCAAACACTAGCAATCCAACACAATGACAATCAAACTGGCTCAAACCTGTTTGTGATAACCACAACAACAAATTCACACTACAACACCCCAACGGCTTTCCTAATTAGTAAAACAACAACTCCAACGTCACAGGCGTGTGAAAATACTGGGCTTTTTACATGTCTTATTCAGCCCTTAAACAGTTGCCTCATGGTTTCACAGGTCCAAGCAACAAATCCAAAACCCAAACAACAACACATCATCCCCAAAAGCTGCCATTATGGTTTCACGGGTCCAGACAGCACAGCCAAAACCCTAGCCAATAAAATTATTCCTAACGACTACATCAACATAGCTGTTTATGGATGAGCATAAGCCATTTATGGACCACTGCAAATTTCTTTTCATTTACATAGTGTTTTTTAGGAACTTGTAATTAACATGTGATAGGCTAGCATTAACTTAAATGGATGTTTAATGTACTGATTAGAATTGTTTATAATTCAATAAAATCGTACATTTTATGCTTGTTCGCAGTAAAAAAAAAAAAAAAAAACAAATTTATTTTGATATAATCATTTTAAATATTATTATAAAATAATATTTCGATTATAGATATTTATAAAAAGATATAATCAAAAAAATTATAATAAAATAATATTACTTTTTTTATCAAATATTCTTCAATGGAATAAACAAAACTATTCAATAATGAATATATTTTTAAACATTTTAATTTAATTGATGAATATCCAGTAGAAAATTTACATGGTTTTGTTTATAGAAATATTACTTTAAAATTAGTAAATTCAAAAATTCTTAAACAGTATGGTATTTTTATAGATTATGAAAAACATGAAAATAAATTTATTGAAAATTTTATAAAAATTAAAAAATATTCACTTTCTAAATATCAATTAGATTTACGTATTATCTACTTCAACAAGTGTTTTTCTTTTAAATTTTTTTAAAAATCTTTATAAAAAACAAAATGAATTTAAAATTGAAAGAAATGATAAATAAATAAAAGTTAATATTTCTTCAATTGAAAAAAGTTTTGTTAAAGGAATTCTTCTATTAGTATATTATACCAAATATATTTCAAGTAATAAAAAACCTTGTGATTTACAATTTTGTAATGATATGGATTCAAATATAAAGACTTTAATGTGTGAATATGCATATCATATTAAATGTTTTGTCAATATATTAGATTCTAATTGTAATTTTTTTTTTTTTTTGAAGGAACAGGTGGTCCTCACACATTGTTTTTATTTATAATTTTAGACTTGCGAATTACAAGATTTATAACTCTGTAGTGTGATATACATCTCTCTTTGCTAGGAAGAGTTAAATGCCAGGCTCAATAAATAAAGGCCTTTCCGCCAGAGCTCCTTGGCACCACTCAAGAATATAAGAAAAAGAAATTCAAAACCTATATTATACCTTGAATGACGTCTAGCTACCTAGAAAAATTTGAAACCTAATCACATGAAGGCGCTGTAGCCACTATATACAGGTTGGCCTCCAAGTCATGACTAGGATTGGCAAGCTTGCTTTCCAAATGTAGCTTGATGTACAGCAAGCTGGGATGTGTTCCACCTTATACTTCCTCTGGATAACTGCTCAGCTAATTAAATGGCCGCTACACCGACGATTTTAATTGTAATTATTGTTTTTATTATTATAAAACATTAGTTAAAGAATTATTATATTCTTTTAATTCTCAATTAATTATTGAAAAAAATAATTATGAAAATAATGAAAATGATAAGATTGATGATACCATTATTAATATTGAAAAAATTAATAATGATGAAACATTTGATAATATTAGTTTAAAAGAAAATGAGTTGGATATTAAATTAACAACAGCTATTAATGATTTTAATTTATTGATAAATGAAGATTTATCATTATCAAATTTTAAGACCTTCTATTGATTTTTCAGAAAATAAAAATCAAAAAATGATGAAATATTATATACTTCTAACAAATTCATATCTCACTAATCCTATTAAAATATATATACAGTATAAAGAAATTATATATAACATTATTTTTACTATTTACTATTTATTTATTGTTGTTATTATTTTATAATTTATTTTTTTATGTATAATTTTATTATTTAATATAACTTATCCAATTTATAATAAAAATATATAAAAATATTAAAAATAATTAATTGTTAATCTATATTTTTATTATACGAAAAATTAACTTAAATTATATTAGAGCAATGTTGGTTCCGCGAAATTCGTTACGTGTCGATCACGGGAATCATACATAATTCGGAAATTTCGCTCGAAAGCATACCTGCACCAGTGCGGTAAGTGACGCACGGGGAGCATTTTTCTGCACCCCAAAATAGTAACTGAAACTCAGCTGCATAAGACAAGTTCCTTAGTCACAATACAACCATCGCCATCTTATCAAATAAGGAGGTGCTTCCTTGAATTCGGCAATTTGTTCTTCGATTGGATCCTAAAATCAAAAAGACGTTCCCAAATTAAAATGACAAAGAAAGATGTTACAAAGCCCTTTTCGAACATATAAGGAGGTGCTACCTTGAATTCGGCAATTTGTTCTTCGATTGGATCCTAAAATCAAAAAAGACGTTCCCAAATTAAAATGACAAAGAAAATGTTACAAAGCCCTTTTCGAACATATAAGATTCAGTTTCTTTATAAAAACAATATGTAGTTTAAAAAAAAACTTGTGGACATAAATGGTCAGAAATACAGTATATTGAGAAATAAACATGCGTAATTAATAGTCATATGGTAGTATTTATTTAAGTTGCACACACCTCTCGTATTTGGTACATATACCATTCTAAATTGAAACCAAATTCATCAAAAATCGTTGCCAAATAAATATATAAATTTTAAATAAATTTCATTAACATAAAGTATGAACGTCGAAGGTTCGCAAAACTTTCAGATAAAATATGATAAATGCTCCAAATGTCATAATGAAAGAGTTCTTAAATATAGTAACGGAGACGTTTGCACTGGTTGTTATTCTGCACAATTTCAGTCTGTTAATAGCGGGAATTTAGATATTGACAATTTAATTAAAGCAACACGAAAAAATAATATTCAACATAGGTTAGAATGGATTCCATTTAAAGATTTTGCGAATATCCAGGACGTTGCAGAGGGTGGATTTAGTTATATATACACTGCTTTATGGACAAAAGGGAGAGTGAAAAGCTATTCTGAAGAAGTATTTAATCGGACAGGTCCTATAAAAATTGTATTAAAAATACTTAAGAATTCTCAAAATATAAACTCTGAATTTATAAAGGAGGTAAAGTAAAGTTTTTGTTTAATTCGTAACTAATAGATTGATTAACATACGTTAATTCACCATGTAGTTACGTAATATTGCTAAAACCCAACCCAACTCCTCGAAGCGTCATCTTATCCGTTTTTATGGAGTATCGCAAGATCCAATAACAAAAAATTATATATTTGTTATGGATTATATGGAAAATGGAAGTTTGCACGAATATTTATTCAAGCATTTCGATAGTATTAAATGGATGGACTGGGAAGCAAACAAAAAAAAATCAAAAATGAATTTCCTAAGAAGTCTCGTTATTGGAATTAAATGGCTTCATCAACATAAAATTATACATCGTGACATACACAGTGGAAATATATTAGTACATAAAGATGATGATTCATTAATTGCGGATTTGGGATTTAGTCGACCCGCGAATGAGGATCCAGGAAAAAGAGTATATGGAATTATGCCATATATTGCGCCTGAGATATTTAATAAAAGTCAATTTTCTTTTAGTTCTGATATCTACAGCTTAGGCATGATTATGTGGGAATTAACAACAGGGAATCTTCCCTTTAATGATCGAAAGTATGATGTCCATCTTGCGTTGGATATATGTAGGGGACTACGTCCTAAAATTACTGAAGATACACCAGAACCGTGGGCTAGTTTAATGGAAAAGTGTTGGCATCAGGATCCTTCACAGAGGCCTTCAATTAATAAAATACATCAATTAATAAATTCCTCAGAATGGGAATTTAATGATGCATTTTACGATGCTGAAAAAAAACTACAAGAAATAAAATCCAGGAAACTTGCAGAGGAACAAAAGCTTTCTCCACGTAAATCATTTAGTCAATTATTAGATCCTGTCATAGAAAATACGAGTTATGCCTTAACAAGACCAGAACCATCAATAGGTAATTAACAACTTTTTTTATAAATAAGTTAACCAACATTAGCTTACGATATTTTTTTTTATAAAAAAATTGTTTTATAGATCTTTATTCCATCTGTTCTTTGGATATTGGAAATGAAACGTAAGTAACCATTTTATATTAAGCATTAAACGCTAATCCAAAATTCTATCCAGTTCCGAACTTATAAAAAGCGTCAATTATTTAAATCATAGTAGAAATTCGTCAACCTCGTTAAAGCATACTATCGATCTCTTGCCAAACGAAAAAACTAGTAAGTTTTTATTAAATACGGTAGATGTGTATTTATTTATTAAACTTACATGATATTACATGTAATAGGCCAAATAAAACGTAGAAAATTAGATGGTCATCAAGAAACAACCATATACAAAGGTAGTACAGTATTCCGATAATTAATTATGTAATTTAACGTAAATTCGCCTAAAATATTTTGTATAACTAGATAAACCGGCATCGTATTTACCTAACTTAAGCAACAAAGTTTTGCTAAGCCGTGATGGAGAAGCTTTGGCCGATTATCTATGCGATGTTGCTGTAACTGAGTTAGACATAAGTAATAAAAATTTACACCTTAATGTAGTGAGAGGATTGATTGTGGGTTTATGCAAGAGTGTTACCTTGACTAATTTAAACATAAGAAATAATGGTATAGGAAAATTGGTAGGAAAAGCACTAGTAAAGGCTTTATGCAAAAATATTACCCTGACTAATTTAGATATAGGCGGAAATGGAATAGGAGGATTGGCAGGAAAAACATTGATCGAGGCACAATGTAAAAGTACTACCTTGACAAATTTGAATTTGCAGAGTAACGATTTAGGAGAATCAGCAGGAAAAGCACTGGCCAAGGCATTATGCAAGAATATCACCCTGACAAATTTAAATATAAGAGGGAATCAAATAGGAGAATCGGCAGGAAAAGCACTGGCCAAGGCACTATGCAAGAATATTACCCTGACATATTTGAACTTGCAATGTAACTCTTTAGGAGAATCGGCAGGAAAATCACTAGCCGAGACACTATGCAAGAATACCACCCTGACATACTTGAATTTACAAAGTAACGCTTTAGGAGAATCGGCAGGAAAAGCACTGGCCAAGGCACTATGCAAGAATACTACCCTGATAAATTTAGATTTAAGTTGGAATCAAATGGGAGAATCGACAGGAAAAGCACTGAGCAAGGCATTATGCAAGAATAACACTTTGACAAATTTGAATTTACAAAGTAATGGTTTTGGAGATTCGGTAGGAAAAGCACTGGGCGAGGCATTATGCAAGAATACCACCCTGACAAATTTAAATATGTCTAATAACGAAATAGGAGAATCGGCGGGAAAAGCACTGGCCATGGCACTATGCAAGAATACCGCCCTGACATATTTGAATTTGCAGAGTACCGGTTTAGGAGAATCGACAGGAAAAGCATTGGCTGAGGTACTATGCAAAAACACCACCCTGAAATATTTGAATTTGAGTAGTAATAAGATAGGAGAGTCGGCAGGAAAAGAATTGGCCAAGGCATTATTCAAAAATGCCACTCTGAAGAATTTCGATATAAGTTGGAATCGAATAAAAGATTCGGCATCAAAAATACTGGCTGAGGCATTATGCAAGAATATCACCCTGACAAATTTAGCTATAAGTGGAATAGAAGAAGTAGCTGGAAAAGCACTGGCCGAGGCACTATGCCAGAATCATACCCTGACAAACTTAAGTATAAGTGGAATAGGAGAATCAGCAGGAAAAGCACTGGCCGAGGCATTGTGTAAAAATACCACCCTGACAAATTTAAGTACAAGTCTAACAGGAGAATCGACAGGAAAAGCACTGGCCGAGGCACTGTGCAAGAATACCACCCTGACGAATTTAAGTATAAGTGGAATAGGAGCATCGGCAGGAAAAGCACTGGCCGAGGCACTATGCAAAAATACCACCCTGATCGATTTGGATCTAAGATATAATGATCTAGGAGAATCGGGAGGAAAAGCACTGGCCGAGGCACTATGCAAGAATACCACACTGAAAATTTTAAATATATCTAATAATAAAATAGGTGAATCTGTAGGAAAAGCATTGGCCGAGGCACTATGCAAGAATACCACCCTGACAAATTTAAATATATCCAATAATAAAATAGGTGAATTAGCAGGAAAAGCATTATCCATGAATATCATCAGGTCAAATTTAAATATAAATTCAAAAGTAACCAAGAGAAGAAGTATTGGCGGCAAATCACCCCGAAAGAAATTATTCATTACAAATAGGAGAAATTAATGTACTGTATAAATCTTCTCAACCCAGCTTATCCATTGATAGTATAAGATTAAAATACAATTTATAAAAGTGATATATTGTTTGCTATTAAATAAAATCAAGACCCTAATAAGGTCAAAACCACAAATTATCATTACAAAATATATTATAAATTTAAATTGTGTTGTTTTCTTTTTATAAAAACTACAAAAAATAAAAAAACATATATAAAAAAATAATTATTAATATAATTATTTTCATTATTTGTAACCAGTCAAGTTATTTGATTTTTATTGAAATAAACAATATTTAAGAATATTTCAAAGTATTTTCAAAAAAATGTTTCTTAAAACTTTATATTTTAAAAACTTTTAATTTAAAAAAATATTGATTTCTATTAATAATTTTTTTAAGTTATATTTTTATATATTATTGTTTTATTTAACTAATAATAATTTTTAAAATTTTTAATTAAAATTCCATTTTAATAACTTGATCAAAGAAACTTTTAATATTTTTCAATTTCAAAAAAAAATTTTTTCAAAATATATATCTTTTATCTAACTCTTTTTCTTTATCTCAATTCTTAAATATTCATTTTTTTTTCATTCAAATCATTAAATCATTTTATCAAACATATCTACAAAAGACAAATTTTACTTGTAGTACTTAGAATTTTTTTATAATCTTTAAAATTTTAAAAGTTATACAAATTTCAAATAATATTGTTATCAATAAAACCAAATTATTCTATTTATATTAAGCACTACTATAGTCAATATTTTTTTTGATAATTCATAATATTCTTTAACTTCATTAATAATTAAAATCAAAACCAATTAAAATATCTTATAACAAACTTTCGACAGTTTAAAAAGAATAATTAAAACCAATTATATATCTATTATCTCAAGAATTAATAATCTGAACATTCTTAAATTAGTTTATTTTTTATTAATTAAGCCTAAATAAAAATCAAAAATAAGTGAAACTATATATTGAAATACTTTTTCTTTATATTTATTGAAAATCTCAAAATAAACAATATCAATTTGAATAACAATACTATATAGTTCTAAAAATAATCAAAACCTATATAGTTTATAAAAATTTTTTAATATTTAAAATATTTTAAGAAACTTTAAGTTTACAAGAATCAAAAGTTCTAATCAAATCAATCAAGTAAATTAAAAGTTTACGAAATAACTTATATAGCAATCTAATATCTTTTAAAATTAAATTTTTTTCAAAAACATTTTTAACATAATTATTTTTTAACCAAATTTATTTAAAACAGTACTTAAACTATTTTTGTTCAAGATATAAACTTAGAATTAAAAATATAAACCATATATTCAAATGTATTGAAATAAAAAATCAAATAATTCAAATTATTAATATTATAAACAATATCTTATATCTAAATTAGAATAGCAAACTGGTTGATTATATTTAGATATAGTTAAACTATCATATAATCTTACTAGCAAAATCTTTACTATAACAAATATTATTACTTAATTAAAATAGCTTCTGAAAATTTTTTACTTCTTTATAATCTTATTTGAAAATCAAAATGCAATATAGCTAATACATTTTCTATTACTGAAACTAAGTGAAATTCAAATTTCTGCCAATTAAAAAAAAACGTTAACCTAAAAAAGTCAAGTTATAAAACATTAAATTCTGGATTCAATACAAGTTTTTAAAAAGATCTAATTATGGATTTTTTGTTATTTATTACAAATAAATTTACTAATAAAAATTATAATTTTATTTTATATCTCAAAAATCTAATAATAAATTTTACTAATCTTATTAATATTTATAAATAAATATTTATAATTGTTTAATACTGTTTTCAATATATTGTATAATATTTTTAATATTTGCTTTATTATTTAGATAGTTTATATAGATAAGCTAATATTAGATTTATTAATTTAACAAGTTATATAAAAGATGGTATTACT